GCATGTCATATTAAGTGAGGATATTTTTTTGATGGAACTTTGTTCAGACCTGGGTGTCTGTACTGCTGTGGACGCTTGGTTCCTCAGCCTCCACTGCTCCCAGGACTTCACTTCAGTGACCACTCCTGCAACCGAACCTTGGATCTGATCACTGCTGAGAACGGATCCACCTCCAAAACTCGTTATTTCCATTGTACAACCCATCCCTTCAATTCTGCCATTTCTCCCATCTCCTAACTTTCACTGAGTCTATTATTATTTTTTATTTTCTTCCTCTTTACCCCATGTTTCTGAATCCAAACTTTCTGCTCCTCAATATTCCTACTGGGACTGAATTTTTAGCTTGGGTCATCAGCATCTTTCTTCATGGGTAATTGTTTTAACCTTCTATGGTCTCTTTGCTGCCCTTCGGAATTACCCTTTTCAAGTCCCAGACTAACCATGGCATTTCTAAATTTGAAACTGTAATCTGATTCCCCTTTGTCCATTAGACCCTTCTCAGTAGTACCTAGTTCATCGTATTGGATAATCTGCCTCTAACCAAACTCCTCACTCCTCATCTCTAGCATGCTTCCAAATATAGATGTCTCGCAGCTTCTTATCCTTCCATGACCCTATTCTAGGGGTCTACTCATCCACAGGACCTAATAGGGCAGCACCCCAGTGTGCATCTCACACCCTACCAGCCATGGGAAGCCTCTGATTCAAGGGCAGAGCACAGGGACTGGCCAGTCGGCTGTGACCAGTGTGGCCAGATTCCTCTCCTAGTAAATGAAGGAACTCTTTCAAAGATGCTGTGGGAGCTACACATGAAAGGTCATGCAGGTTGAAGCAGAAGAAACCAGTCCAAGAGAACCAAACAGGGACCACCAAGCAGCCCAAGAGAGAGAATGTAGTTGCTTTGTTCCAGTGGCTTGTTCTTGGTTCTCAGAAGACCTGGTTGTACAAGAGAACCTGTCCTTGTGTCCCCGTGAGATCCCGGAACCTTTACATCCAGCCCGCATTTGCCTGAGTGACCTTCAGGGCTCACTTCTTCCACCCAAAAGAGCCCAGACTAGAACTTTCAGCCTGTTGAATTACTGTTGCCCAACACGCGATTCTGTACCTTTGCACACACTCGATGCTTTCCTTGGAATGTTCTAGCTCCTTTTCACATGTGGCAACTATTTACTTACCCTTCCAAAACAATTACCCTATTGTGAGTTTCCAGCCCCCCAGACTAGTCCCTCCCTCTGCATCCCTTTAGCACAGTTGCTCATTCATTATTATCATAATACCTACTGTGCTGTTTTGAAATTGTTTGTGTTTCAGTTTCTGTCTCTGTACTCCCAGCCTCTTGAACAGTATATTATTCTGCTCATATTTTCGTCTCCCCAGTCTGTGGGGGAGTGAAGATTCTGCTGGTTCCCTACCCTCACCGCTGGCCCTGGCGGTCACTCACCTGGTAAAGTTCTCATTTACTCCAACTGACTCCCTGTGTCTCCCTGCCTGACACAGTTCCGTGCAGTCCAGAGGCAGGAGATTAGTGTCCTGGGAGGGAACCCCCCATCAGTGACGGGATCCCTCAGAAGGACCTTTGTGAAATTGAACCCCAGTTGCCTAGAATGGCTTTCTTCTGTCTCTTCCCTGTCTCATTTCTTCACTCCTTCACTGTGCCTTCTAGAATCACCTCCCAAATAAATTACTTGTATCCAAATAAAAACATGCCTCAGTGATTGCTTTTGAGTAAACCTAAACCAAGACAGGGAGCTGAAGCACATGCAGTGCCTGACAGACAGTGAATGAACAACGGAGGCCTCTAGCCCCTTGCCCCTCTTCCCATTAGCACAGGACGTCAAGAGACACCCCCATCCTCTCCACCCAATTCACACTCTTCCATCCAGATAGGACCCCATGGTCAAGCCCTTGGACCTCATGCTCATCAGCACTTCACTTCCCCTTGTCACTGGTCATTCAGAAGAGCCTACTGTGAACATCTCCAACAACTGATACAGCCAAGGGGTCCCTCCACTCCGGCCTCTGGGGAGCTGAGTGTTACAGAGGAAACTCCTATGCTGGTTGGGGCCATTTCACATATATAATTTTCAGCCCTCAGTATAGCATCAAAATCCTTTTACTTGCCCCCCAATTCATTTTCTTTAACAACCTCCACACAAACTATGCCACCTTTTACCAGGATGCCTCACTTCCTTCTTCATTCTCTCTACTGCCTTCCCAGGATCTGGGGTACTTGAGTAAGTAGTATCTAGTTTACTTGTTAGAAGAAAGTCTCTGGTGGAAATTCCAGAACCACAATGAACCCCCCCTGGTATAACCAATTAGAGGCAGGAAGACAGACTGCAGACACGCCAAGTATAGTGCTATGCTCAGGGCAGTAAATAACTTGCAGGCTGTCAACCTATTAAAACGATGGACTGGCCAGGGGAAGAGGGTACTATGGTGATATTTAAACAAAAGAACAACACTTAAGTATTATTATTAGGTTCATTTTTATATATGAGGAAAGTGAGAGGTTAAGTAACTTGCCCAAGGTCACACAGCTGGTAAATGGTAGTAGAGCCAGGATTTGAACCCAGGCAGTCTGGTTCCCAGAGCCTATGAATTTAACTACTACATGACACTGTATCTACTGGTTTTTTACTACAAAATTATTGATAAATGATTGAAAAGTCAGCACACTACCATCAATGATCTGTCTCTCAAGGCTGGGATGCTTATAATACATATCAGGACAATCAATAAATCAATAATACGTATCAAACAATTCAGATAAAAATACCATGTGTATAATCTGCCTTGCATTATTACATATCATATATTAGTGGATATTAAATAGAAACAGGTGCATATATTTTCCTGGTAACTCTGTGGATGCTAACCATGGCTAAAAGCAAGTCAGCGTGGTACATTGAACACAGTGGTAAACTGAGGCATCCCACAACACAGCTCTGCCTCAGCTTCCACATCTGAAAAATGAATGGCTAGAGTAGACAATGTGTCAGGTCCTTTCCACTGCTAAGATTTTGTGTTTTCCATCTTCATATAGACAGAGAAAACTTGATTTCAAACCTGTCTAGATTATACTTGAAATTTCACTGATGTGGGTGATTGGAGTGAAGCTGTTAGGGGATTGGCACACTCAGTGCCACATAATCTCTGTGCTCTTTAGAACCCCAGTAGCAGCATTTTCATATCTGAAGAATCTCTATGCCTACTATGTCATATGCAAACTGTCACCTGGAGTGTACAGGAAGTAGCAGATGGTTCTGGCGTCAGAGTGCCCTTGAGTACTAATGAGAAGGCACTGATTAGAAACCGTCTCAGGCCAGGATTTGGGTGTGCTACATATAGAAAGGATTAGCCTATCGGTGTTAACCCTGCTCAGAGGATCACAAGCAAGTTCTCTCTGGTGGCTGGTTCCAGCGTCTGTCCTCTGGGCAGCTGCTGCCCTGACACCTAGTGCTCGGGCAAAGGGCACATTTTATTTATTTATTTTTTATCCTCACTAGAGGACATTTTTCCATTTTTTTGTACAGAGAGAGTGGGAGGGAGAGAGAGGAAGAGAGAGAGAGGGAAACATCGATTCGAAAGAGACACATGGAGTGGCTGCCACCCGCTCGACCAACCAGGGCCGGGGACAAACTGCAACCGAGGTACATGCCCTTAGCGGGAACCGAACCCGGGTCTCTCCGGACCGCAGGCGGACGCTCCAACTGCTGAGCCAAACCGGCCAGGGCAAAGGGCACATTTTATAAGGGAAAGGAACAAGCACCGCACAGTAAGCTCTTGGTGAAGATGGGTCACAGCACAGGGCCAGATGTGCATCCACAAGAGCACTTCTACTGAGCTGACCCAGGAGTTAAAGGGCCTCCGACTTTTGGCCACGTTAGAATAAGAATTGCTCAACCTGTCCTCGATAAAGTCTCCTGGGAGTGCCAGAAAATACAGTCCAGAAAAGACACCTCAAAAATGTATACATAATACATTGAGAGGGAGAAAAATGAACGTAGACATTGATGACACCTTGTTTTACCCCCTCTCCCAACCTATCCCCAAAGCAGAGAGGATGGAGGCTGCCATGAGGCTCCTCCCTACACACACGAGCTTCCATTTTTGGATGTTGTCATCTCGCTTCGAGGCAGCCCGAGCAAGTCTTCACTAATGTGGGTCCCTGCAGGAGAACCTCGCATGTCTCGTTACACGTCCCTTACTCATCTTATGCATAGTAGGTGCTCAACAAATGTTGGGGGAACTGATCCTGTGTGCGCATATGTTGCGGGTGGGGGTGGGGGTGGGGTCCTCTGAAGGAACTCTCACTCACTGGGGTGCCATGTGCCTTACAAAGGATCTCATGTAATCCTCAGTCGTCCCGTGGATGTCAGAGACCCCACTTGTCTTAACGAGAGAATCTGAGGAGCAAAACGGTAACTTGCTCCGGTTCACACAGCTGATGGGGACCACAGGAGCGCCTCTCCCAGCTGATGGGGACCACAGGAGCGCCTCTCCGGGATCTGCTCTGAGAGGCGTTAGTTAATAGAGAAGATTAAGTTTTCTGTCCCGGAAAAGGGCGGAGCGGAGAGGCCCGCTTGGAGCCACTCCACAGGTGCGGCGCGCACCCAGAGCACTTGCTTGGGCAGGGGACCAAACGGAACATCTTTTTGCCATCACTGATCCAAGAGATGCTCCTCTCAGATAAACAACTCTCCGTAGCTTAGTCTCCTGAGCCCCTAGGTCCCGCTGGTGCGCGGCCAGAGCGGAGTGGAGCCGCCTGCGGGCCAGCCCCGCCCCTCCTCTTGCCCACTGCGGGAGTCTGGAGGATGCGAGGCCGACCGAGCGGGTGCAGGGCTCGCGGAAAGGGGTGCAGGGCTTTCTCAGGACTGCAGAGGTGCGGCCACCATGTAAACTCGGACGCCCTAGCTGCCCTCGATTTCCCGCCAGCTCCCTTAACCACCCCAGCCCCGATGTGCGGATCTGGTCCCTCCGGCCCGGGAGACACTCACCCTGCCACTCCGGGACCCTCTCGGGAGTGAGAGTCGCCGTTGCACTCTCGGCACAGCCCAGCGGCGTTCCCAGTAGCAGCAGCCACGGCAGCATCGCTAACCACTGGGCTCGCCGGGCGCCCAGCACTCGCCGGGCGCCCAGCGTCTCTCCAGCCCGGGCGGGCGCCACAGCCCCAGCGCCCTGCCCTGCGACGTGGGACACAATAACTCAGAGCCCTTCGCGCTCCACCCCTCCTGAAGGTCTCACCACCCCTGGGCCCCGGAGACTCACTCCGTCACCCCTGTCGCCACTGTGTGCGAACACGGGTCTCCGGACCCCGACACTAGGTTTGCACCCGCGGAGGTTTGCACCGCCCTACCCACTCCGGCTCGGAAAAGGAGGAGGAGGAAGAGGAGGAGGGGAGGGTGGACCATCTGCCTATCCCAGGAATTCCAGCCTTTGGGGTGGGGAGAGGGGAGGGGTGAGGCTGCCCTGTGCACGCTCCTCCTGCTTCTAGCCTGGGGGTGAATCAGTTGAGAATCTCTGGGACTGGAAGTCTGACGTCTGGGTTTGCAAACCACCCGGATTCTGATAAACACTGAGGGTTTGGCAGCAGGCTCCTTGGAGTAAACCAAACTGCTCCTTGAACCCGGGCTCTTTAGAAGCGCTCTGGACCCCCTTCCTCTGGAATGTGGACAACTGAGATCCCTGGGGTGCAGGCACCAGGGTCTGCACCCTCCTCACTGGGGAATACCATAAGGTTCTTCCAATGAGCTCCTTTCCGTTTTAAAAATACCCCCTATCTCCTTGGATCCCCCAGTTCAGCAAAATAGCTGGGTTCTCCCACTTTAGGGCTGCTGTCCTGTTATCCCATTTCACAGTTGAGAAAACTCATCCAGAAAGGCAAAGTGATTTGCTCTATGTTACTCCTTTCTCCAGCAAAAGTTATGCCTTAAACTAGTAAGAAGGAAAATCCTGACTGGACTGTATTCCTTTCAAATAACCAGCAGAACAGGAGGAACATTTGATATTCATGAGACCTTTCCTAACAGGAACTTGACATTAGTGATCAAAACATAAGAAGAAGAGCCCGGCTAGTGTGGCTCAGTGGTTGAGCATTGACACATGTACTAAGAGGTTGCTGGTTAGATTCCTGGTCAGGGCACATGCCCAGGTTGTGGGCCAAATTCCCAGTGGGAGGCATGCAGGAGGTGACCATTTGATGTCCATAAATGTTTCTATCTCTCTCTCCCTCTCCCTTCCTCTCTCTCAATAATCAATATAGAAAAAAAATTTTTTTAAAGTAACACTGTCTGCTATAGACTGAATTGTGCACCCCTCCCCACAATTCATATGTTGAAGCCCTAATTCACCAGTGTGATTGGGTATACAGATCAGGCTTTCAGGACTTAATTAAGTTTAAATGAAGTTGCAAGTGTGGGGTGCTGGATAGGATTGGTGGCCTTTTAAGAAGAGAAAGAGAGAGCAATTTTTCCACATGCAGGCGCCAAGGAAGGGCCTTCTGAGGACACATGAAAAGGTGGCCATCTGCAACATAGAAAGGACCCTTGTCAAAAACCGGCCTCCAGAACTGTGAGAAATAAATTTCTGCTGTTTAAACCACCCAGTCTGTGATATGTTGTTATGGCATCCCAAACAGGCTAATAAACTGCCGTAGCCTGGGTCCCTGGACAGCGGGACTTGGAGTGAGATCCCTGGGAAGGTGTGGAATTAACGATCAGAGTGAAACAGGAAAGAAGGGAAAGTCTCTGCTGTGGCTACTATAGTAGCTACATGTGCTCAGACCTGCAGTAACCCCACAGGCCACAACACTATCTGCCCTGCAGATGAAAGAGAAAAACATTTATCTGTAGGCTCCCTGTCCCTGCTGGTTAAGGGAGTCCTGGGGGTTATTAACTGCTCTGTACATTCCCACGGCAGTGATAAGCGTCAAGCATGGTCCCATGCCATGGCAGTTGAGAAGCCCTGGGGACAGCAACAGATGCATGGGATGGCCGGAGGTGAGTGCTGTCAGGTTGCTCCAGAGAGAACTGACGGGAGCCAGTGCAGGGCTGGCTGCTGCAGAAATGGCTGGACTAAGAGGTATGGCTGAGAGGACCTGTGAGGTTCCAGTGTGTGTCCCTTCTCAACAGCATATCATTATGAGTAGAAGGCAGCATCCCTGCCTGAAAACATGCACAAAAGGGATGCTTTCAGTAGGCCAAACCATATAGACTCCAATCACAAAGTGTTTATCAGTCTCTCCTATGGCCTCAGAACTACGTTGTGTGCGGTGGGAATATCCCCAAAGTAGATGATTCAGCTTTGCCTGAGTGGGCTGGCATCCACTGCAGCACCCAGGTGCCATCCACGCGGCATAATTAGGCAGCGAAGCGCAACACCAATGTTCATCTTTGGTGCGGCGCAGTGCGGTCCAGAGAGAGAGGCACGGGAAGCTCCAGTGACTGCGCAGGGTGGGATATGCTCAGATAGGGTGGGGGAGGGATTGGGGAGAAAAGGAGGGGAAGACGTTGTAAGAAAAAATACAAAGGTCGGAGTGAGAAATACTTGTATGGGAGACAGCGTGTATGCGGACTTGCCTGGAGCAAAGGGCAGACACTGGGGCACTCTGGTGAATGAGGGCAGCCAAGGGACACTGGGCTACCTCCCACTGGCTGCGGGATCAGGCTGAGATAGTCACCTATTATGGGCTTCAGTTTTAACCTCTGAGTAATTATAAAAGAAAAAACCTTCCCTGATCCACAGCGGAGAGTATTCCAAAGTAGCAGTGCTATGATTATGAGCAGGATGAAGAGGGGAAACCAACCATATTTTATCTCCAGAGTAATTAGTGTAATGAACTAAGGTGATGACAGCTTCCTGGCCTACTCACATCACATTCCCTATTCAACCATGGGAAGACTCAGAAAAAAGCTAATTTGCACGTCTTCCTGAGGCATTGCAGCCCCACAGTGGAAATAGTAGCAGAGAGCCTTCCAGCCTTCAGAAAGCAATCCTTCCCCATAACCCAGTCTTGTGCGTGTTTCATATTTATGCAACAGGGGAATGCAAAGGTTAAAAAAGGCTGTCTGGCCCTGGCTGGTTTGGCTCAGCGGTTGGAGTGTCGGCCTGCGGTACAGAGAGACCCGGGTTCGGTTCCCGCTAAGGGCACGGGTACAGAGAGACCCGGGTTCGGTTCCCACTAAGGGCACGTACCTCGGTTGCAGTTTGTCCCCGGCCCTGGTTGGTCGTGCGGGTGGCAGCCACTCGATGTGTCCCTTCACATTGATGTTTCTCTCCCTCTCTCTTCCTCTCTCTCCCTCCTGCTCTATCTGAACAAAAAATGGAAAAATGTCCTCGGATGAGGATAAAAAAAAAAAAAAAGAGGCTGTCTGGCCGTGGCCGGTTTGGCTCAGCGTTGACCTGCGGTCTGGAGAGACCCGGGTTCGGTTCCTGCTAAGGGCACGTACCTCGGTTGCAGTTTGTCCCCAGCCCTTGTTGGGTCGTGAGGGTGGCAACCACTCGATGTGTCCCTTTCACGTTGATGTTTCTCTCTCTCTTTCTCCTTCCCACTCTATCTGAACAAAATATCAAAAAAATGTTCTTGGGTGAGGATTAAAAAAAAAAAAAGGCTGTCTGCCACCTACTAGCAGGTGGCTTAGCCTCCCTTAGCCTGTTTTCTTCTGTGTAAAGTGCGGATGGCGGTATTTACTTCATAGCGTCCCTGTATTCAATGAGATAAGTATGTGCAGTGGTTGGCATGGGGTTTGGCACAGTGCCAGTGTTCTCGCATCGGAGCTGTGAGTGTGTGGGAGGGAATCAGGGCAGCCAAAAGAAGAGCAAAGAGAGCTCAGAATCACCTGCTACAGAGCATCGTCCTGTTGCAATGTCTCCCGACCCCAGCCAGGAGTAGCCACCAGAGCTTTGAGCCTGCAGGCCTTTGCACACCCCCCATCATTTAATTTGTCATTTTAAATTTGAATTTGTTCATTATACCTCTCACTTGGATATGAGTTTCTTGAGAGATCAAATATATTTTCCTTCTCTTTGAATCCCCAGGACAGCGCAGTTCTCGACAGTAAGTACTCAGAAAGTCTCTGCTGAATGAATAAATGAATGAAAAGAAGAATGAATGAGGTTGGAAGGAATATAATATGTGTAATCATTTGAAAGTCAAAAAAAATATTAGAAACCTGACTTATGTTGAGTGAAATCATTGAAGAAATTTCAGGGTTTTAAAACTCAAAGTATGGGTTATGGTGAGGGCCAAAATTAACAAATATTTTTTGTGCACTGTAGGAATCAGGGTTTCAGCAAGAAAGGATGAGACTCCGATTCATTGTGAATGTTTAATGAAAAAACTGTTTACAAAGGTTTGAGCATAGTGAAGAGAACCAAGACAGGATTATGAAGACCTAGTTTCTAGCCAAGTGCAGGAAACCGTCACTACTACACTGGGTCTGAAGGAACAAGGGCAGGGAACAGTTAAAGACACCTCACGACAGATGTACCTGTGTGACATGGAATATCTGATGGGACCGGAGAACAGTAACTACTTACTACCGAACTGAAGCTTGTCAGGGAAGAATCTGAGAAAATAAATAGCCTGCCCTGTCTTCTCCTGCCCTCTGACCTCTTCCCATTAGCTGAACCCAGCCAGAAGTCAGTTGGCAAGGAGTCCACAGAAGTCAGATCCCAGAGCACGGGACAGGGTGGAGAACTATGGACAGTGAATGTGGAGAGACAAGCAGAGAATATCCAGCCCTCTACCAGTCTTTGTACTTGTGCAGAGGATCCAATAAAGAACAGGGCATAATGAGTCCCTGCCCATGGTCACAGAGTTTAGAGTCTAAAGGGAGAAACAAATAGGTAATCAAATAATTATAATAGAGTACAATGAATGTCATAGTATGAACATGTATCTAAATCATGAGAAGTGCTTGGAAAAGCCATGTATCAAGGCTTGAGGCGCTGAGAAGGCTACCAAGAAAAAGTGGCATCCAAACTGACACCTTGAATACTTAGCTGACTTCAAAAGATACAATTAAGAGAATGAAAAGAAAAGCCACTAACTGGGACAAAATATGTGCAAATCATATATCTGATAAATAACTTATATCTAGAACATATAAAGAACTCTCAGACTCAATAGAAAGAAAACAAACAACCCCCCAAAAACAAATGGGAGATTTGAATAGGCCCTTTACAAAAAAAAAGATAAACAGATGACAAAAACAAACAAACAAACAAACAAAAAAACATAAAATGATTTTCAAGACCACTAGGCATTAGAAAAATAGAGATTTAAACCACAGTGATATACTACTAGACACTTATTATAATGGTTAAAATGGAAAAGGCTGACCATACAATCA